AACAGAAAAATTGAATGTAAGAGAAAATTTAAAAAATAAGCATTCCAATTAGTTGCTAAGGAAATAGGCAGTGGGATGCAGGGTAAAAGATGTGGATAAGCATGGAATTTTGTAGAGCCTTGAAGATACAGATGAAAGTTTTTAGCTGGATATGGAAAGAGAAAAACTTGCAGAAAAGAGATACAAAGATATATATGCAGAACTATATTGAGAATTTCCTTGAATTCCTATGAGGATCAATGATTTCATTATCAAGAGAAGGAGATCAGCTTTTATATTCATTAATTTCTATGAGTTTAATTTAGTGTCTGGGATTTAGTAAAGTTATGTTATCTTTGCTTATATTTCTATGCTCCATATAGAGCTATTTTGTACCTGTATGAAGAAACCTGGTGAAGGCGTATTTAACTACAGCCAGGTCTTTTGGGAGGGGGGGGTTTGTGCAATTTACTTATTCTGCTGCTATTGTCTCATGTTTGTGACATTTTACAGTGAGAAACAGATACATAATTTTCAGTTGAGATCTCATGTCTTACTACCCACATGATGTCTACTTAGGTGTTAGGATGCTCATGACCACTAAACTTCTTTTTACTTTTTTCCTTTATTACTCTTGCAATTCACTCTTTGCTGTTTATATTACTGTTTTCAAGTACATATTCAAATAATTATTTAATGTCCTGTACAGTAATGTGTTCTGTCTCTACTTTTGCTGGAGAGGCAGAACTACATATATAATGTTCATTCCTCACTGCCTGCTGAGTTCCAGCAGTATCTGTGTGAAAACTCTTGGAAGGCAATGGAGAAGCATCAGATGATGCTTCAGAAAAGGACAAGCATCAGATGAGACCTGAAAGGGACTATGTAGGAAGATATTTCAACATATTTTGAAGGTGAAGATTAGATGCCAGATACTTGGTAGAAATGAGTAGTTAGAATTTGGTTTTTTAGTTTCTGTGTTAGCAGTTTGGGGACTATGAGTTCAAAAGGGGAAGAAATCTTTGTTGGGTGTCAGGGCCACAGTGGACACAGTCTTGGAAAATGATCAGAACCAGCAGAAAAAAAATCAGTGTGAGTGCAGTGTGTTACATTCAGCACCAAGTGAAAATAATTAATCTGGTTTATGCAAAGCATAAAGCTGCAAATTTATGAATGCCTGGGCTTTAATTGCATGTTTATATTTGGTGATAGTGCTTCCATCCTTTCTGAAATGACTACAAATAAGAGCAGCTAATTGAATTCACTTGCATCTCTGTTTTACTGCATCCATCCAAGGAAAAGCCTCTGCAATGAGAACAAGCACTTTTGCAGTCTGAGCATGTTTCCATCACAGTTTTAATTTCCATCTGTCTCGCTGGAAATGGGAGACAGTGTGAAAGCAAAGGGGGTCCCTTGGGGAGGTGCTGCCCTTTGCCAGGTTTATGTCGCCAAGTGTGCCGCGGGTTGAGCGCTGTTTGGGGAGAGCTCAGAGCCAAATCTCCCCCGGGTGCCCACAGGGCACTGCAGCCTCCCAGGCCAGTGGCCATGGGAATTTTATCATCAGGAAATGCAGTGTATAAGGAGCTGGTCCTCAGTGAAATCAAACACTCACTTTTCAGATGCAGGAGGGAGGCACAAACGCTTCTCTCCTGACACCGTGAAACTCTGAGGTCAGAAATATCTAATGGGCCTTTCACTGCCTTCTGTAGGCAATTGGCCCATCTACAAATGTCTTTGTTATTAATTCTTTTGAACCTTGAATTCAGGTTCTTTTCCACTAAAATATGATTAAAATTTCTAAGATTCATATTTTAGTGAATCTGTTGGAATAGTTCTTCAAATTTTAGATGCATTAATTTTAGATGCATGCATCTCTTAATTACTTTTACAACAAATCTTGCAGTCACAAAAATTCACATTTCCCCAGTTTGTATGCCCAGAGTGTAAAATCCTTGGAGTTTTCATTCTGTAAGTCTTATGAGTCATAAAATATTTTTTTAAAGTGATCTATGTCCTTTCATCTTCTTAAAGAATATTTAAACAAACCCCAACACTTTTATTCCAGTGTCCTTACTAGCATTTGCAAATAAATGACAACCAAGTCAGAGTACTGTATTGTTGAAAAGCCTGGTTAGTTTTAAACATAGATGCCTTCAGTAGCTCTGTATACACAAGTCTTGCTTAAATGTACACTAACTTTTTAGATATCTTTATTTGAACAAATGTAAACAAACACTTGAAGACTGAGATTAATTGCCTTTCAAAAGAAGAAATGTTTAATGATTCCAAAAAATTGTTTTGGAAGAATTACCTCAGAATATATTTTCTCTTCTTAAATAAGGCAAAATATTATTCAAAAAATAGGAAGAAGCAATAACTTTTGCAATCAGAATTTCTATTCTGTAGATTCAACTAGCTGTATGTAAATAGCATGCTTATATATTCTCAGTGTTTAGATTGATAAATATCTATATGTTGAGTCAGATGTGGCTAAAGCTGTCCCTGCTGCTCTCTATTTTCAGAACATGAGTGGATTAATTGGGGTATACTTTTATATTTGCGTGTGTATTTTACATCTTCCATTAGATAAAACAAGAATTTTACCTGTATTGAAAATGGTGATTCAGAAATCTGAAGTAAAATGAAGAGAAAATTGAATGAAAGCATAAAAAGAGCCTGGCCTAAAGGGTCAAGGCCTATTTGAACAGTATGTTATATTGTATTTGACTTTGTTTTAAAGAAAGTGTTAGTGCTATCTCCATGTTTTATATCTTGTGGCATTTTAATTTAAACTAGGAATTCTAAGAGTTAAGAGAACTTTTAATATTTGAAGAATTGGACAATTTCCTAGATGTTTCATATTTTTTTTTCTTCTAGGTTCTGCCAGTTTGTTTAGAAAGTGTTACAGGATTGCTAGAATCAAAAATTAGCATTCCACAGAGAATTCCCACAGGATGATAATATAGGAGTCTTCAGGGCAGCTGTGATGAAAAATATAACTGTTTTACATTTTTTAGCAGTGCTAAACTAGATCAGTAGTCTAGATCAAAATGAGCTGAAGGGACCATTATAGCAAACTTCCAAATATTGGCATTCATAAATTCATCATTTTTTCTTTAAGTGTTGTAAGTATAAAATATTTTAACTAATTACTTAATGTAAGCATAGAACAGGTTGCAAACCAGCCTGGAACAGAAAAGAAATATTTAATTGCTTCATTGCTTCTGACTGAAAACTTTTATATATATATATTTGTATGTATGTATGTATGTATGTATATGTTAAACCAAAGCCAAATGTCTTTGGATAGTAACAGCAACATGCAGTTCCCAACATTGTCTCCATAGCACCTGAACTATAAAATAAGCTTTCCCTGAGCAGCATTGTGTGATGTAACTGCTGAAAGAAGCATCTGCTCAACAGCTGCAATTTTTTTTTTTCTGTGAAATGCTCCAGACTGTGTCATCCTTTCTTTTCCATTGATTGTCAGCACCTGAATCTTCATTTCATAGCCTTTGTCAAGGGTGACTTCTAAAAGCCTTGGGCTGTGTTGGAATCTGAATGCATGACATAAACACTACAGTTTTTAAATGGAAAAACAGCAAGGATGAAACAATGTAGGATGGTCCTAAGTTTTATAGACTGTAGGGTCCTAAATTTTATAGACTGTAGGAGAAAATATTCATAATGTGCATAATAAATTACATTTATTGCAATGAAGTCTCTGCATATATGGATCGGATCAGTAAATGGAAAGCCTGTATTTTGGTACTCAGTGTGTATCTAACCTACTAGGATTGATAATCCCTGGTCATAACACTTTGCTTACACCTGTGTGACTCTAATCTGATATATATTGTACAGAGGTCTGTGAACAGTCTACTTTAAAGAGTTACAAAGTATTCAGTATAAACTGCTGCATTTCTTAGAGTTAATCTTTGCGTTATAAAAATGAAACAACAAAAGGTTATGCCTCCTGTTGGCTGCTGAAGTGGGAAGAGGAAATTGTGCAATTCAGAGAAGGTCAAAGGACTAGAAGTGTGGGAAGGCATCTCCATACTCACTTAAATTTGGGTGGTTTTACAGACTGGCATTACCAAAGTAAGCTTTTCACCAACATTGTCACTTGGACTTTTTATATAAACAAATCTGTCACCCATATTTTAGAATTCTGAGTCAGAAGGCCTTGGGAATTAACTCTGCAGCTGCCTGGCACTATGAAGCCATGGGTGCAGGGATGCACACACAACAGTTCTGCACATTTGTACTCAGCTGTGCAAATTCAGAATGTGCCCTGAGATAGTGGTCATAGTAAAATGAAACCTCCTGTATGGGTTAATGGTTGTGTTGAAACACTTCTCATCCATAAAATGTGTAAAACTTTTAAATGGATTAGCAGCTTGAGATTCTTTTCCTCATAGAAATGTTCCCTCCTGTGCACAAATTACTATAGTATACTGAATATCTCAGTCTCCTTTATTACAGCTGGAGGAAGCATTTGATTCAAAAAGCTCAGCTGTTTATTTTTATGTCATTACTACTTGGCCTTTTCATAGCTGCTTCAGGGAATGAGAGAAGAGGCTGTTGGTGACATCTTCACTATTTCTCTGTATTCTGTGTCTTGGGCTTGCAGCCATCAATGGCATTGATGTCCTTAATGATGTTTGTTTGTTTTTTTTTTTTTCAGTTGTCCCAATGGTATTACTCAAAAAGAGTATTATGAAATTTTCATTTGGCTGATGAACTAGAAGTATTTCACCAGCCAGAGCAATATTGCTATTCCCATTCACATATCCCAAAGAAGTTTCCCAGCTTCTATTTTTCTGTGAACTATAGAGCCTGTCATATGAAATGGCAAGATTTTTTATGCAGTCAGAAGGAAATCACTTAAGTTTTAGATAATTGCTAGTTTTACTTATTTGTCATTTTTATTAACAAATGGAAGAATTGTAACACTGAGCTGACAAACTGTGTGAAATTGCAGTGCACATAGGCTAATATTTTTCTTCTGTATCATTTAGATTCCTCTGCAACACTGGAGTTTCTGTATAAATTGCAATATCAATCAGATGAAATTAAATCTCAGCTTGAATCTTTGCTTGGTATGGAGCTGGTTGAAAAAGAATGGGATCAAGAATCCAGAATTGTAACACTGATCTTTAACGTAGTGTTTGCACCTAGCAAACCAATGAGGTAAGGTACTGTTCCTTACTACCAAAAGAACACATAATGAAATCCTGTCTGGTCACTCTTATATAATCATTTCCCTGCATTCTTTTCCTCATTTTGTTTCACCTCTGAGATCTATTGGTTTAGATTTGCTCCCTTGCTGCTTCTCAGTATGATATCTTTGATGTTAAAACTGACAGTGTTTCTTTTTACTGCCTGTGAGATGGTTCTGTTGAGTTACTTCCATAGTCTGTGTGTGCATCATTTTACTTCTAAACATTGGAGTATTGAAAGACTTCCAATGAAAATAATTTGTTCCCATAATTCATAAAAAAACAATCAAACAAGATGGTCTATCAGTCGTGGAAAACTTTTCCTAGACAAGCATGTGTACATATTCTTTGACTGGGTGGGATAGTTGAATTTGAAATTAGTTTCTATTGCCCCAGTAACAATGATCCACAGGAAATTATTCTTCTTTTTTATTGTGATGTGACAAATGATGCATGTGCTTTGATTAACATAAGAACATCCCCCTTCTTTAAAAAGAAACTGCTGAAGGGAGATCCTTTTGGAGAGAGGGAAGTTGGCCCTTCCTTTGGGTACCGTCAGATGTGGGTCAGGGGGAGGCTGAAAAGAAGCTTTTGTGACCTGCAGACACAAAGTAAATCCAGAGTCCTGACATTACCAGGAGTGTTAGGGAACAGTCACTGCTGAGTATCATGGATTGCATGAAAAGAATTATCTTTAGGAAGCAGGAGGTTACTGTTTATTTACAGTAGTCCAGAAGATTAATGAAATAAACAAAGAACAAACCTTTAGTAAGAACGATCCACCCAGCTGATTCAGTGTCATTGTGCCAGAGGGAGGGGAATTTACAAAGCCTTTTCATTTCTACTCTCTCATTTTTATTTTTATTTTTTTTTTAATTTGGTTTGTTTTTTTTTTTATCTTTGTGTACTTGAGACTTAGGCTTCCTGCAGAGGGCTCAATGACTGCAATTAATTAGTTGTGTTATCTTCAGAATCTACAGCACCAACTCTCTTAAACAGTCTGAAGGCATCAGAGTCTGGCCTTTTCCTTAAGTACATAGACCTTGGTCACATGTCTTTGATCCTAATATGAACTGCTAATATGTTCTGGATGAAATTCTCCTCTAACATCACAGTAAATATAGAATAATGAGTAAAATAAATGAAGGTTTTTTTGTTGTTGTTGTTTTTGTTTTTAATTCCAAAGAGAGCAAGCAGAAGAATCAAATCTCATGGCTGTGTCCAGAATGTTACTCTCATATTATGTTCTTTCTTATAATTTTTGTAAATATCTAATGCTATTTAATCTAAGTTCCAGTCAAGTTTACTTGATATATACTATGCCATGCAAAATTAGGGATGTATTCTGCTTTGAAGTAATTTGTATTTTTGTTTTACTGCAGTTTACTTTTACACATTCAAAGAGTTTTTTTTTTTTTTTTTACATTAATCACTTCATGTTTTATAATGTTTTTCTATGTATTGACTATTTTTATCTGAAATTTTAAGGAATGAGGCAACTGTTGTAATTCAGTGTACTTCAGGAGGCCTTTGGAAGTTTCCATTGGTGTTCATTGCCACAGAGCCAGAAGTGGATGATGTGATAAACATTGAAGCAGTTGGCCTGAACAAGGAATCCATAGTTGGCTTTAAGCTCACAAGCCAGACAAGGTAAAAACACTTATGCTCAAGAATTTATGCCATTTTCTGAGGGTAAACCTCCTACTCAAACACATTGGTTAGAATAAATTTGGGCAACAGACCCATAACTGAAATGCAGCTATTTCATCATTATTTTCAAGAGCTGCATTTTTTAAGTTATAAATGCAATTTTCAAGCTTTGTTGTAGAAAACAGAAGCATTCTACATTTAGGCTTTGACTTAAGAGAAAATCTGTGCAATAGATCTAGATGTTTATGTTATGATTCTTTTTTTGCCCTAAAAGGCTTTGGCGGATGTTAAAATATGTAATTCAATGTTGAAGGAATGATAACAATATTGTGATATTAAAGACTCACTAGTAAAGCTTTAAAAGCTAATGCTTTTATTAAGAGATTTTTTTTCAAGGTAACTTTATGCTTAAACCAAGTTAAAAACATTGCCTCACATTGTGCTTTAAAAAATTTAATATGTACCATTGTTTTTAAAGTACTCCTATTGTATTATGTAAGCATGCTATGAATTCACCTCTACTTCCACTTGCTAAAATAATGGTGTAATTCTTCAGTATTTTGTTACTTTACTTATTTAAGAGTCCTGCAGAAACCCCTGTTAATATATATTTTTTACATATTTCAATTATTTTCCCAGAGTTTTACAGTGTTATAGTAAACTTACAGTGTCATTTGTATACAGCAGGAAGTCAAGGAATAAATTGTGTGGTAATGATATATAAGTTTTAAATATTAAACAGGTAATCTGAATAAATCATAATGTTTACAATCCATGTAGCTCATGGAAGTTTTAAAGTTTCTTTTATTTTCTTTTAAGTAATGACTTTTACTATATATCTAGAAAGTGTGCCAGATATGCAGATTGATTGCAGATCTCATTGTGGATACATCCTTCGGTTTTCTTCCTCATCAGGAAGTATATTTGGTTACAACTGATTTTTTTTAAGCTTATTTCCAAAAGCTGTGTCTCTAAGATGGACAGTTCTAGGTTTTAGATGTCTGTCAGTGATGTTAATTATTGAGGACTCTGACAAAGGCTGCTATCACAGTGTTCAAGTTAACAGCTTCAACAGAATGGCTGTTCCAGAACAAAAGTGAAGCAATTGCTCTGGCAATACTGTAATCTCCTGGTAGGTGTTTGATAGCAGTGAAGATACCTGATGTTCTCCAGAAAGGTGTTATAAAACCTGAGTCATTATAGTTATATAAAGGAAGAGCTGTGATGGAAAATAGATTCTCTTTTTCCCTTAAACAAATTCCAACTTTATTTTATATAGCAGCTGCTCCCTCCATACACTTTAAATGCAAAATGTCATGTTCGCGTTACATTAATAAAAAAGCTCTGTGCTCTAAACAGTCCCAGGAGCTCCACTCATGAGGGTGCCTTGGGAAGAGCATTGCCAGAGGTCAGGGAGGAGGTCCTGCTCCTCAGCCCTGTGAGGATCACCTGGAGTGCTGTGCCCAGCTCTGGGCTCCTCAGGACAGGACAGACTCGGAGCTGGAGCGGGTCCAGTGGAGGGTGACAAAGATGATGGAGGGACTGGAGCATCCCAGTGAGGAAAGGCTGAGGGAGCTGGGCCTGTCCAGCCCCGAGAAGAGAGGGCAGAGAGGGGCCTCATCCCTGTCTGCCAGTGTCTGCAGGGAGGGTCAGGGGATGGACCAGCCTCTGCTCCGTGGTGCCCAGCAATGGGACAGGAGGAACAGAGAGAAACTGATGTCCACAAAGTCCCACCTGAACATTAGGAATAATTTATTTCCTGTTTAATGACCAAACACTTGACCAGATTGTCCAGAGAGGCTGTGGAGTCTCTCTCAGTGGAGATATCCAAGAACTGTCGGGACACAATCCTGGTCCATGTGCTCTGGGATGACCCCACCTGAGCAGGGAGGCTGGACCTGATGACCCTCTGTGATCCCTTCCAACCTGACCCATTCTGTGATTCTGTGAATTCTCTATAAGTTATATATTGCTTTATCTTACCTGTGATTTGCTTAGGAGATTTTGGTGGTGGAGGTTTTGTATAGAAATAGAGCACTCAGCCAACCAACACATAGTATATTGGACCTTCAGATTAAAAGCAATTACATAAGAAAAGCATTATATAACAGGTATAATTTAATACCTGTTTAACTCAAATTATTTTGATTAAGAACAAAACAATGAAATATTAAAACATGGTTTTAAATTTTCGAATAGGATACAAAGTGCCATCCTATAGATCCTCCCTGAAAAAAAAAAATCAGTCCTTTGGAATTTTCTTGGTTATCAATTAGCAGCACAATCCATACAGAAATCAGTTCTGTTACTTTAAGAGAGATGGGTTTTTTTTACTCCTTGCATTTACAGATACTTGATGCCTTCTTTTCTTATGCTGGACAGTAGCTCATGGCACTGCTGCTTGGGGAGTAACTGTGAGGGAAACAGGTATATTTCTGAGTAACCTGCTAGGGAGGGATTATGCACATGTGTCTTTTTCTCCTGCTACTGCCAGGAGAGAGGGGTTGCACAGCATCACTGAGAACACCTGTGCATCTTTTTGAGCTAGCATGGTGCATAGTGATGCAACGAATAGTATATGAGAACCACAGGCCCTAAAAAAGGCTCAGGTTCCTTTAAGAACAGGTTAGGATTCTTCCATATATATAAATATATATACACACACACACCCCACATTGAATGAGGGTCTTCAGGGCTCCACAATAAATCTATGAGATCAGTGGGTTTAACTTTCTTTTTCTTTAGAGCTAGTGCAACTCAAATATGGCCTTCTTCCTTAAATTCCACATTTCTCCCCTCCCTTCCCCCCGCCCCAACCCCCCCCAAAATCCTCAGTGTGTACAGGATATCTCAGAATGAATTCATGATTTTGGAAGGATGATCAATTACAAATGGGAGGTCATTGCTACACTTCACAATGACCTGCAGTAATGAAAGATCCAGCAGTTAATGAAAATGTGTAATGCACCCTTTCAATATATTTAAAGTTCACACAATGAGAAATAGTCCAATATCTGCTCCAGAAAATAGTAAGAGATGCTGATAATGCAGCTAAACAGTTTTATTCCATGCAGAAAACAGATGTATTTTTTATAACTATGTGCACCTATGTCAGTTGGAATAGAGTAGACTGGTATTTTACTCAGCTTTAACAATTCCAAAGGGACATGTTGAAGGGTTTCTTGTATTGGCATTAAGCTTGATTAGAGTCAAAACAGCAGATTTCACTTCCTAAATAAGAAAAATCTACCACTTCTTAACATTCATGGATGACCTTTTCCAGGTTTTATCATAAATGCAGGATTAATTCAACACCAGCTGAAATCATTGGCAGCATTTCCACTGGAGTAATTTGTTTTAGTATAAACCTCTAATGTTTGAGATAATATTAGTGCTTGTTTTAATACCAAATACATTATTGAATGCCAATGTTTTACAGAATGACAGCAGTGTTAACCAAAAAGGATAGAATATTATCCTTGGAAATAAAACTTAGAGAAATTTATTTGATATCTATCTTAAATTATTGGTCTGTTATTTTATGTTGAAATCTGTAACTGAAACATAAAATAAAAACTCTCAAAGTGATACTTTGCTTAAGGAAACTAGCCATTTCTATATTTAGCACACTTAAGATAACAATGAATTTTTAATTAAGTTTGGGATCAGGACATTTACATTAATACTGAAGTGGTTTTGGAGCTTATTTAATGCTCTATCTTCCTTTACAGAGTTATTTTGATGGTTGGATTTATTTCTTCACATTAAAATACTGATATCCAGCTACAGCAGAATGTTACTTTATAGGGCAAATACTTCAGTAGCCAACATGAGATGTGTGGGATGGATAGAATAGATAGAATAGATAGGATAGATAGAGGATAGATAGAGACATTGATATTTGTGAACACAATATTCACTTGGAATTCTTTTGTAAACACACTACATTTGAAGGTTTAGTCAAGCTGGGGGATAATTCTCTCCTATTTGTTCTGTCTGCTTTTTTTTTTTTTTTTTTCCTTTCACCAGTTTAGTTCTGTCTTCCCACATACCTGTTGGTGATTGTTACAATCATGGATGGCTTCTCATATCCAGTAGATTTTTTTCCATCTTTCCATCCTTCCCTGTCACTCCAGGATGGATATATGTTACATTAAGGCAACTTAGATAAACTCAAACTGCCCCTCCAAAAAATGTGGCACCTATTGTCATAACTGCAAAAAAAAAAGCAGCCTCATGTTGCTGTGATCTCCACAGATGGGCATCTGCAAAATCCAAGGCTCCACCTCATTATGGAAACAGAGCTAGAATAAAGAGGAAGAAAATCCTCAAAATGGTGGACTGGTTAGGCTTTAAAACAACTGCATATGCAGGTTTAGTTTTCTTAACCTACTTTTCATTGGAGATTTTCCTCATTTCTTCCTTGCACATTTCATAGTGCATAGAATAAATGTTCAATTAAAAACATTCCTTGGTCACACAAAATTAATTTTAATTCTGAGGAATTAGTGGACAGCCCATTTTATTTCTGTACCTTCCCTTATTTTGAAGGGAAAACCACAACAAAAAAATGTTTACAATTACAGCTGTTGTAACATTTTCATATCCCTTATTTCTTGAAGCAGTTATGTGCTTTACAAATTAAGGCATTTTGTTACTCTTCTTTTATTAGCAAAAAATATTCAAGTGTTTGACCAAAAGGACTATGTTCTGGTATTTTTATGCATGGCTTTTCAAAATGCTGAGTTTTTTAAAGGAGTACATTTCTACAGGAATAATTTACTGCTTCAGTATTTTTGAGAAGAGAAACATTAAACCTAATTTGAGCCATAATTTAATAAAATTTAATAAATATTTTTAGTTTTGTTGAGTATTCTATAAGATTTGGAGTGTGATTGCTACAGGAATATAAATTTTAAGTTCTTCTTTAGTTGAAGATGTATTGTTGCTGCTATTATTTTTTTGAGTTTAATAATTTGAAAATTGTGTAGCTTGAGAACACTGATAAGCATAGATTTCTGTATAAGGACAAGGTTAAAGGAGTAATTATGAAAATGTCCATGAAAGACCAGCTCAGTTTCCTCTTTTCTAGGTTGCCATGATTTGAGTGTCCAATTATTATTTAAATTCAAGTTTTTGTTTACTCTTATTCATCATTTGAGTAAGGACAGAGTTCATGTTGTCTGATGGCAGTATCAAACCATTATGAGAGGAGTTAAGGAAAGACAGATGGGAAAACACATTTATTTTCTTTGTTTTAGAAGGCCTCTGCCCTTACATTTTCTAATTAATTTATGCTTGGTTTTTATATGTTTTCAAAACTCTACACATCATTAAGCTTTATAAAGTATGTTTGTATCTGCCACCTTTTTTGAAAAAGTTCAGACTGCCTCACAACCAAACTTCATGGCTGAGAAATGACAAGCCAAACTGACTCCAGAGGTGCTTCACCTGAAGAAGTTATCAAAAAGGAGGAATTAAATTTTAATTTAAAAAAAACATAATTATTAATTATACACTAAATATACAGACACAGAAAATTATAATGTCTGAAATTCAGGTGATATTCTGGGAATTTCATCTTCAGATTTCTCTTTATTATAAAAGAAGAGAAAATGAAAGCAATTTACTTGTGCTTGTGGTGTACCCAGCATGCCAGTTCATCTCCCTAATGTGAACAGCAGTGAAAGCACTGCTTGTTTTGTCACTGGGGGCATCTTTAGATTTATTTTTAAAACAATGCAAGATTTATCACTGAAAGGTTTCTGTTTTTCTGATTATGTATAATTTTTTAATTGCTCGTTTTGTACCATCTTCATCACAATCCCTGCTGCCCTATCATATTATGGCTATACATTTAATTTGTCAGGATTTAATTTTCCTTACTTGGACATAGTTTCTCCTCTGAGAAACATTTGGCATCCAGTAGACACTCTGACTCTTTTGTTTAAAACTGATATGCTTTGGGAACAGGGATGTTTTAGCTTTGATTTTGTGTGTTTATGCAAGTTCATATGCCTTTATGCATTTTACTCAAAAATTGTAGCTGCCTCTAGTATCTTGTCATAATGCTGTCAAGAAGTGTGCAGATTTTATTTAAAGTTTTTTACTTTTTTCTTTCCATTTTTGAAATCTGACAAGTAAATATCTTGTGGTATTATATATTGGTAAATATTATAGGTGAGCTTTTTGACAGTTTCACTTTAAACTGTCTGGTCCCCTTGTCTGGACAAAACCTGTGGCTTTTTCTCCTCTGTGCTGTCTGACTGTTTGGTGTCTCTGAAAAATTCCAAAGCAAGCTACTGTTGCATAACTCCCTACTAAGAGGCAATTTCTGCAGGAATGAAATCAGTATTTTCCTGTGTCTGCTGTGTTAGCAGCCTGTCCCCTGCCTCATCTCCCCTAGCACTTTATCATCACATCTGTGGTCCAAGTCATGCTCTTGGATGTTTTACAAAGACACCAAGCAATTGCTAGGAGTTCTTGTCCCTAACTGTTCACTAGAGAACAGCATGGGAGACACAGAAGGTGCTGCTTTAAAATGTTCCTGGTGCTGGAAATGAAGACCCGTGTCCAGGTCTGTTCTCAGCAGGAGGGCTTGAATATTTATCTCAGGTATTTTTGATGAGTGCTGTGCTCTGCTGCTCAGTCTACATCACTCACTTCTTTTTGATCCCATACCTGCTGTCTGTGTGTAGTAGGTGTGCTCTGGGTATTCACAGCTGAGCACTCTTTTGGGAAACAAAGATGTGAAAATTCAAGGCTTATCTTGCACAGGGAGGGGAGCTCAGGCCCAGCAGGATTAGTGCTGATGGCCCAGGGCTATAAACTCAGCAGCACAGCTTTAGGCACCGCAAAAAGAGGTTGTTAGCGTAAGTTTGATGTCAAGACTGAAAGACTGGAAATGTAGTTTCATACATTCAGTACTTCTGCCCACCAAGATGTCACCTAAAGGAAGAGCCAGGCTAAATCTTCTAGTGCACCCAAGTCCAAGAGCACTGCTAAGTATCAGTTCATTTTTTGGAGGCAACAGAAGCTTTTTGGTTTCTGTTTTATGCACTCTCACTGTTTGTTTCTATAAACTGGCAGCATGACCTTTTTTTCACGAGAGCATTTTGAATATAGAACAACCTTTCATGAGAACATATTCCAAGAGGGGGCTATTTTTAAACAAAAGGACATAGGCCCAGCGTGCCACCCACAGGATAGCGCTCACCCAGGAAGCGTGGAACATTTCCGCAGAGACGTGACTTGCCATAAAATATTAAATTTCATTTCTTTGCGGGTATTTTCTTTGAAAAGTGTTATTTCTGGTGTGACAGCCCATGAATAAACAGATTTGAACAGATTTTCTTTGAGATGCTGTTAGTTTTTCATTCTTCAGGTTTTATCAATACAGTAAAATGTATTCCCTCTAAGCGTCCAGGGTACTTGCCCTGCTGTGAAGTGCCAGGGTGTTGTGAATTAAGTTTTGACCATCCCATTGTATTTTTACTTCCAATTTCCTGTGTTCTCCTTCTGTTCAGAGAGTGATAGAGTTGTCCTCAGCAAAACATATAAAGATTAAAAGGAGAATGCCTCACCAGAAAATAGAAAAATGTACATTCTTTTCATGCTGAGAATGTTTGTGGCAAGGAGTCCCTGAGGAACTGTGATGGACAGGCTTCAGTTTGTTTTAGGATTGTTTATAGTGCTCAGCCACTGTCTTCACCAGGACTAGGGATTTTCTTTGGGTCCAACAGCACTGCTGTGAACCAAAGCATTAGACAAGATCTGCAGTACCTGTGACAGAAATTCTTTGAGATAAGAGTTTCACAATATTATCAACACAGTAACCTAATTATGTTACTGCAAAATCTTGAAATGTTCAGTCTATGGGATATGAAAAATGTGAAAACAATGATAAAAATTACTATTTTTCATATCTTCATTTCAAGGCTTTCAGAACTCCCTCCTAGTCTAGTAACACTCTGCCAAAATGAAAATTCAGTTCTAGTCATAAACCTTAATAAAATGGGTAGCTTGTCAGTTTTATTTGATTAGGGATTGGAAAAGTGAGTATTTTTAATAGGAAAAATAGATTTTCACTCTGATACGGAATTTACTTCTATCACTATTGTGATATTTTTACAAGTCAAATTATTCTTTTTTTTCCTAGTGGCAAATGCTATCATTATTCCATAGTTAATATAATATTTATAATAGCATGTAAATGTGTTTGAAATTGAATACCAGTATGCAGGTCCCTGTGTATAAATAAAGAATTATTACAGAATAATTATACTGTAAGTAAGAGTGCTGTTAACATTCCATATTCATTCTATGCCATGTTCTCTGAGTCATGCCACATGGTGGTCTAAGTGTTAGATTGCAGATAAATTCTGTGAAGATGCTGTAAAAGGCACAAGAGTCTCCTGTGCTTTTCTGCAGGTACCCAGAGGCATTCACTGCACGCTTCCTGGCGGGCAGTGATCCCGATTTCCTTGTGAGGCCACAAGCTGGAGAGCTTCTCCCAGCAGGCACTGTGGGAACCCCTATAACAGTGGGATACAAGCCAAGGATGTATGGCAAGAAGCACAGAGCAACACTGGTCATCGAGGTAAGCCTTCCCCAGGGCAACCCACAAATCCACAAATATTCCTGAAGGAGTGCCCGCAGGACAAGAAATCCTGCACCAAAGAGCAGCACTGGAACACACCAGTGCATGTGCTGTGATGGTTTTACTAGTCCTCCAATGGACAAGAATAAAACTAAATTTGGAGAATTGACTGATGACAAGCTGGAAAAACATACATATTTTACACTGTATTTTGCACTGTATTATTATTATTTCTACATTATCCTTTTGTCATCAGCACCAGAGGCAGATACTTAATCTTGATGTGTTTGCCCCAACTCCATAGACAACATGACTATCACAGAGAATCAATATAATCCTGTTAAGAACTGGTAGAGAATATAATAGTAATTGAAGATGTGAAGGCTAAGTTACTGATTTTAATAGTTTTATACCTCTTATATGATCAAATGCTCCAAGAAGACAGGTGCCAAACTGTGGAGGAGAGATTTTCAGAGCACAAAGCAGGAATAGCTCTTTTGAAGCAAGATGCAAAGTAAACAAAAATTATTTGCAACCAAGTAGCCTGTGTAAGTGTGAAGGCATGTATTCCTTTAGCAGTAAAAATGCTCTCACAAAACCAATTTTCAAGTTTTAAGTTATTCTGTGAAGAAATATGTTGAAAACACACAGCAGGGACAAAACCCCACTTCTCTATAAATCATGGTTTGTACTTTCACTCTATTCACTGCATGCTGATAGTGTTTTCAGACTACTATATTAGAAGTGAAGCAGCAATATTGATTTCAGAAATAAGATGGTTAGAACAAAGTTGATAAAAAGATGCATGGCAAATCACTAAAGTGTTTTATTTCTGTAAGTGACAACTTGTATAACAGTAAATAAGAAATTCAAATCCTGGAAAAAAACAAAGTCCTTCAATCCCTCCTACTTCTTTTCTTTTAATGTATTAGATGTCTGATTAATATTATCTCTTTACCTAAACAGCAATGATGCTTATCACTCTTCATTTGAAAAATAAGATATCTTACTGAATATATTCTATGCTATTTTGTGTTTACAAGGTACTATATGACACAGCTACAGAGCTCAGAAACTTGAAGTTTTGGAGGCATGGCACATACAAATGCAGCAGCTATGCTTGTTCTTGGCTTAGCTTTCATCACTAACAAGGAGTTTTTACCATAAATCTGTCTGGAATGGGACAAACGCAATGATCAAAGGTTGTTATTAGCTCTTTAAGAACTCAGGCAGTAATTCAGAATTTCCTTTTAGGAATTTATCAGTATAGATGGCCTGTGTATAATTGGATTTTTAAGCTATATGCACTCACACCTCAGTCTCTGGTTATGATCTAGGCAGACAGCTCTTCACATCTCCACCTTTGGTACTGTGTGTGGTTGCAGTAAGTCACTCATTCATACATATTACATATATATATATATATATATATATATATATATATATATATATATATATACACATATATATATATATTGCATCACATCTTGTATCTATTCCTGGACATTTAAAAATGCATCAAGGATGCTTGATGCTTATAAGCACATTCTGGACCAGTATAACTCCATCACGGTCTATTAGAGATTTTTCTAACATTCTCACTCAAATTGCAGAATTAAGTGGTTTCAGTAATGTTTTGATGAGGCTTGTGTTCTCTTTGCTCTTTTTGGTAGCCCTTTTTTGTACTCCAGACTTCCTCCTTTCTGCTCCACACAAGCTTTAATTCCTGCAGTTCTGATGGAAGGCAGAGCATCTGTGGCTGTGTGGGATTCAGCTGCTGTGCTCTCAGCACTGACCTGATGTAAGATTTGATGAGATGTTGAGAATACCTGATACTCATTTCTGCCTTTTGTGTTTGTTGAAATAATTTCCATTAGTAACCTGAGGGAGACAGACTTAGTAAGATATATTAAATAAAAGCTGTATTAAATCATTCTTATTTGGGGAATTACAGTGGAGGTGGTGAAATGCAATTAGTGTTTGACCTAATACTGAGGAACCTTTCTTGCATGTATCCTCTCTAGCCAATATATTGGCTGAGGCTTTGGGCTATTTTTAGAAATGTTGAAGAAGCTTCTTTTCTTTTGCACTGCCTCTCTTCTGCTACTGCTGTAATAAAGGATTACAGTGCTCTTGCTTTAAAATAAATGTCTTTTGCATTTCCAAGGGCAAACTCACAGCCCTAACATGAACATATTTTTATTATTAAATTCTCTGAACAGTGAGTATCAGATTTGTAAGTTTTGTGTGTTTCAATGAACAGTGATAATTAAGCTGTAAAGTAGCAGAGATAGCAGTGTAAATTCTTTTGTTTATATTCATCATTACCAATGTGTTGTAAAGGAAAATGGAGGGTTTTGATTATGAAGGAAGATCCAACAGTCATCTTTTTCTCATTTGTTTTTAAATTTTAAACCCAAATATTGTATGTACATTTTTTTTTTGTTTTATTATCCTGCTGAGAACCCAATTCTGAGAAGCTAATTAGAATTAACATATATCTAACAGTCTGTCTCTACCAGAACTTAGTGTGTACATTTTACTAACTGAATATGTATATATGTATGTATAATTGAAATCATGTTGACTAGTTTATATTTCTGCACACAAATTTTGTGGGATATGGTATGAATTCTTTGAGACTTAATATTCATGAATACTTACAATAGGTTTTATTAATGGCAGGAAACCTTAATTTGCTGACACAGTTAAAGCTCTTTAGCCATCATTAAAACTTCTGTTCTCAGTCAACTACATCTCAAAACAATTGAAGTTAGATAATTATTTAAATAGCTGCTAGGAATCTTAATTTTGCAGAAGTGACATAGAAAATTACTTTAAAATTTTATGTAGATCAAAGAATGAACTATTACAAAAAGGCAGTAAGGAAATAATCATGCTCCTTTATTTGAAAAAGCTTGTAGCTTTGAATGAGAACATCACAACTTAATTGATCTACAGGTAAGAAGCAGTGAAACTGTGCCTGAACAGCATTTTTAAACAGCTATTTTTCCATAATCAAACTTCTGAATTTATAATTGCCTTCATAAACAGTGCAGTTCTAAATGAAAAAAAAAAATATTATCCCTAATGATAAATAAGTGAAGAGAGCACACTGCTTGGATGAGCTGTAAAGTGCTGTGAGGACAGAAGGGACTTCCTGAGCCGCAGTGACATCCCAGAGCTGTCTTGTGCCAGTGAGGCTGAGCAGAAAACCGACAGAGCTGAAGGATGTCAAGGTGCACCTGGGCAGGAATCACAGCCAGGCACAAGGTGGAGCAGCTGGGAATCCTTGGCAAAGGGCATATTCCTGTAGGCTTGCAGTTAATTTCCTTTTACTGTGCTGAATTCAGCTGGAGACCAGAGCAATTGCTTTGTAATTCATGTGTGAGACTTCCGAGATATTCTAAAGCAGAAGGCACACACAATAAGTCTTAAATGATAAAATAGGTGTCAGAGTGAACCAGATTGCAGGCAACATTATCAAGCCCTCCAGAAGTCAGGCTTGTGCACCTTTATTACTGAATAATCACTAACTTAGCCTATGGAAGATAGCATATCAAAACCATTTGTCATGCTGTTCTGCAAATAAATGATGCAGTGTGCCAGCCACAGTACCCAGGTGTGGCTTCTCTAAACTTGTCTATGCAAACTGCATATCTTAACAGCAAACTGTACTGTTACATATTCAGCAGCTTGCTGAAACTGCCTTCTTCCTGGTGGATTTCTTAATTACCATAGTTCAATGTTATTTTAAATTTTATCTCTTGCAAAGAATGAGCATGGAAAAATGTAACTGACTTACTAGATAATTGAAATAGTTTCCCATTAAATAGGATACATGTTGGTGCTGGCTTGAGTTGTAGGATTAGAAACAGAGTGCAGAATCAGTACTCAACATTTTTGATTCACAAGCATGAGGAAAGGTTACTTTGCTTATTGAGACTTATAGTTTTGATAGTGAAAAAAGGTGCTAATAATGTGGGAATCATTGCCCTAAAAGGGTATTCAGAACACTGTCAGTCCTGGAGGATTTTGATTTTATATTGTCTAAGCAATGTGGTGAAATACCTAATATTTGAAGTGCAAAAACCAATTAAGTAAATTTTAATTGCATTTAGAAGTGTTCTTTAAACTAAGAAAATTATCCTTATCCATCTTGTTCATTAGAAATTGTTCAGAGCCAGGATGGGCATTTGTCTGTTTGTGGGAGGTGGTTCTTCTTGCTTTGGGTTTTTTCTTTCTTTCCTTCACCTATTAAACTATCATTGTCTTGATCCACGAGTCTTCTTCCCTTACACAGTTCACATAAAGGTTGCTTTAAGTCTGTATACGTAGATTGCAATTGGTCATTTTTGTTTGTTTGTTTTTGTATAACAAAACCTTGAAGTATGAATTAACAGCCAGGAAATATTTGATGCAGTATCTGTAATTTCCTGTGGTTTTAACTTTTTAGGAAGTCTTGTGAATTATATTTTGATTTTTCTGAGTTAACAGTATTTGGGAGCTAACTGGAATACAATATTCCTTGAAATTCCTGATCCTTGCTCCCAATCCACTTTCCTAACAGATTGCTTTGGCAGTTATTTGCTATGTACTCCAGCAGCACTTCCAGCCTACAGTGAACAAGCATGGATAATCTGTGTTTTGCAAATTAATCCTATGAATCATAAGGCAGCAGTAAAAATGGGTTGGATACCAAACAATTAGACTTTTGTGTAAATTATTTGGTGACTGTTACCAGTGTTGGCTGAATAATTTGCTTCATGGACATTACTCAGTCAGCCATCAAGATGATTGAATGACTTACTTGAATAACTTACGTTATGTAATAAGAAGTGACAGTTAGTGTCTCATTTTTAATTGTTAAAAACATTTTTCAGAGAGATTTAGCTCAGAACATGGCCATTACTCCAGTCAAGCGAGCCAAATTGTTATTCTCTTCACATGTTGATTCAGGAATACTGAGGTTTTGAAAAAAGAAAGTCATTCATTTCAACAAGAAATCCTCCCTCAGATTGTCAAGGACATTCAGGATATGATCTGGTCTTTCTTCTTAAATTGCATGTGAAATAGGCCTAGATATGCATCACAGGGAGCCTGGATTCTTCACCTGTGTTTATATCAGATATATCTTCTTAACTGAGATTCTCTTTTGGAATTCTATTCTAGTCATAGTACAGATTGCAGCAGATTTGTTACCTTCATCTTTAGACTTTGCTACTACCAGAGCTAGTATTGGAATTATTCCAGATTTGATACAATAAACTGCATTGCCTTAAAAATAGGAAGAAGTGTTCCTCTGATTTGGGAGATTTTGGCCCACTTTGGAGGCAAGTAAATGCTACTTGTAAATCAAATATTCTGTCATAATTCTATGGTCATATGTAGATGAGCTTTGAAAGTCTCTCTTCTTCCTCTCCACCATTCCAGGAAAGTCTGAAATTGTGATGATCTGTGTTTTCCTTTGCTGTGATGTGTCTGGCCTGAAAACCCAAAGCAGCAGCTTTGAGGCACTTGCATGAATTTGGGAGATCATAGACTTTCATATTGGTTAGAATAATTACTGAAGTTAAGCTCTACAGACTTATTAAAAAAATTATTACAGCTTGAGCAACTAATATTGTGCCCTTGGAAATTATGTATTGTAGTAAAATAGACATTTGTGGTTGCCTAAGGTTTATTAAAAATTACTTTAATCTAGGTTGCTTTGAAAATTACTGATTTCTGTGTGGTTCTAATGCTAAACAAAGAACCCCAAGTTATGCTGACAATTATAGTAACTTTTCCTTATGCGTGACACTCGTTTCCCCTTTAGCAGTACTGTTGTGTTACATTACACAACAGTAGTTTTTTCATTTAATGTGTACATAAATGCACAATTTTTTCTCTATGATCGTTTCCAGTAGTCTTGGATGATGGCACATGATTTACAGTAGGTGAAACACCATAGTTAAGATATTAGGGTGGAGTTGCAATGTCTCCTGCTACAGAACACCTGACACAGCAGCAAAATAGGCAGCTTTTTCAAGTCAAGCCATAATCCATTTTTTTTTCCACTGGATGCACAATCCAGGATATTTCTATGGCAAACAGGAAAGTAACATGAGGTTATCACTACCCAGAAGTCTATATCTATTGTTTGATGCTGATGGTAAGTGAAGTTGAGAGATGGAATAGCCCACCATTTTTGTTAAATCACACTATTACTAATACTACAGACAATCAAGTCACAATATGTGTTGATTTAACAAACAAAAATAATTTTTTGTTTAGTAACTTGCTACTTGGTATAAATCACTGGCTGAAACACCTTTTAGATATTTTCTCTGACCTTGAAATAATCCATGAAACTTTCACACAGTGAATAAGACAGTGAGGTTAAATTACCTTTAAACTAAATTGTTGATCTGCTTTATTAAAGAAAGATAAACTATATAATTTTGTACTGAAGCTAATAAAATAATGAGATAATTTTGGAGAGCTACATACTTGTCTTAAATGAGAGCTTTATCTTTGGACATAAGATATTGATGCTGGTTCATGTCACACCTGCTTTTCTTGGCTTTTACCTTTACAAATAGTAGAGTTACTAGTTCATTTCACAGTGTTAAATAAGGTTGAGAATAAGGATGAGTTAATCTGCCTGTTTTAACACAAAATAATATCCAATTTAAATTAGATTTTGATTTTAATAGGATAGCAATAAAAATTTTAAAAAACTAAGCATGCATGGTGAAATTTGTACTGAGTTCTCGTTTACTAATCTTACTGGAATAAGGCAAGTTATTCAGCAGACACCATGTAAAATCAGTACTGCCCATTTTCAAGCAGCAAGTTCTTCAAAAATACACAGAAAAAAACCTTCATCTATTCTTTCAGCATTACTGCAGAAAAGTATAATTCAGTAGCCAAAATGCTGGTTAAAATTACAATTATAAAGTCATATGATGATGGCATTTAGGAGCTGGAAGTGCATGCAGTATATCTAAAATAATGTAAATGCTGTATAAGTGCATGACAGAGAAAAAATCCTGAGCCAAAGAGTTTATGCTTTAATGTTCTGAAACTTCTTTTTGTTGAATATCTGTATTATAAATTCAAAGCTGCTTGCAATGATACTCCTTAAATATTATTTATCACTGAACTGGGTAGCAATTAGAATGGTAGGAAGAAGCATATGAAAGATAACAAAATAAACATAATAGATTCAAACTTTTTCAGTGGCAAGTATAAAACTGATGTAACAAAACTTAGTAAAGTCAAGAAACACTTTATCATGCTTTTATCCTTCTTCTGTATGTTGCTGTAAATATGGGATGCCTCCACAGAAGGTTGGAGGTGGAGAAGGTTCACTGCTCATCTCTGTGGTTTTTGTAGTGCTTTACCTAGACCATAATTTAATAACAGAATGCAATAGATAGCAAGACAAATATACACACTGTGCTTTGGAGATGGTTGATAGTATTTAAGTATATTCTGTGTTCTGTATAAAAGCCAAATTTCACTTGTATGAATATATTATCATACACTTATACATACCATATTTTTACTCAGTCTTCCTCTACTAGTTTTATCTCAGAAAGAGGAAAAAAAGCCCCAAATGTAAAACTGGGATTTTCAGTCAGTAAATGTAAGGGAATTGATGACAGTCTATGCCTAAAGGGGGCATGCAATGCTTTGTCCTTTTGCACAGTACAAAGCTGGGCATAATGACACATCATTTGAGATTTTGTAATATCTTCTAGGTTTGTAATATTTCTGTTGTTAGTTTGCAGTTTTGGGGGTTTTTTTAAAGGAAAAGTGAATAGAAAACTAACACCCAGGAATATACCTTTTTCCAGATGTAATGACAGGAAAGTGCTAGAGACTTGGAATAAAGACCTGCTTTTAAATATTAAAGTGATATGTTATGAAAGGAAAAGTATTGGAAGATCTGCAAAAATTACACATGAGTTTTTAACAATCAAAATTCTGTTTCAGGACACACATGAAGCATGGAAAGTAGACAGCAGTATACCCTAATATTCATAGGAATAAAACTCTTTAAGCACGGGTAGATGGGATGTGTAGTAAGAATAAGGACCATGTACTTGGGAAGAATCAAGTATTCAAGCATTACAAGACATGACATGGAAACATATGTTCCATTCCTAGAGACCAGTTATCAACAGAGAGCAAATGAAGAGTGTCGTTTTCAATCCACATAAATATGCCTCAAGCCAGAGATTCCAACATGAAGCTTCAATTCTCTCGTGCATACTCTGAGTCTTTGTGTTTTAGTTTTGTTCATTGTTTCAATGTGAAAATCCCACCATTTGATACTACCATTGTTACAGATAGCAGAGCTGCAAGTAAATCCTACAGTACAAACTTGAAGCATTTATGTTGTAGTAAGGAATAGTCACCTTTGAAAAACATACAGAGCTCTTTGAAAAATGTACAGACCTCTGGGATTTTTAAATAAAAAAGGAATTTTAGATCAGCCAGGAAAGGTAAATTTCTCATCTTTGTTGTGCCTGGTCCTGAATAAATCTGAACATGATTCAGTTCTCTGTTCCAGGAGTGCAATTATCATTTAGTGTTATTCTATTGCATTACATGGAAAAGGACAAATATCTTTTGAAATCAATGCTGCATCTTAAATGACTGATGAATTTTCAAGGTATTTGATAATTGATTTTTTTTTCCTTTCTCTGTTCATTATTTTCAGACACAATCAATGCAGTGGACATATATAATCAATGGACTTCCTCCAAAGACTGTCCCATCTACAGTGGCAGCAAAAGTAGTTTGCACCAGCAGCTACACAGGATCATTCACAGTCCGACAGCGCAATTTTATACGTGAAAATCTGAAACTTATAACCACTGGAGCATCCTCACCAATCAAAGGAGCACCTTTAGTCCTTAGGAACAAACAGAGAAAGTTATAATCTGTTCATTTTGGTAAGAGAACAAATAAATTCTGCATATAAAAAGAACATGTGGTTTGTTAAATTTTTTTTAAACAGATATGGTATGCATGAATTGTATGTTCTGTATGGAAGATTCAGAGCACCTCAGCCCTAGTAATATTCCTGTTTTTTGATAAGGGATTTTGGATGCCTAACAATTTATTTATCTCATGCAGATGTCAGCAAGTTCAGAGAAAAACCTTTAGGTTTAAAAAGTTATATCTGAAGACTGAGTAACTCAAACTAATGCTTTGCTTTCTAAAGGATGTTGGTTTAATAAGACTGTAATAGGAAGTTTCAATGAGCATTCTGTGTGATATTCAGCACATGACACTCATACAAAACAAGCAAGAAAAAGCAATCCCGGTTCTCTTCCACAAGAAAATCCTTACCTTTTCTTGCTTTGGCAAATTTCATTAATTAGGACATATTTGCTGTGTATAAAAGAACAATCTTGTTTATTCATCCCATAAAATTTCAAATCTTTGGTAATTATACATAGCAAAGAAGTGAAATAAAATGTCCTGCTGCAGTAATTTTATGTTGGGTATATTTTATAGAGTGCTTTAGAATATGAACATATAGAAGGCTATGAGAATTCAGTGAGGAATGAAGACAGATTTTCCTTTTTTTCCTAGAATAAACAAATCAGAGGTGCTATTCCTAGTGTGTTTGCATTTCCATTCTTTAGATGGGAATTCAGGCTTTCTCTGCTCTTGATATAATGTGGAAAGTTAGATCTATGCAGACATGCTTTGTAAGATCATTGGATGGGTAACTCCTGACTCCTTTCTTCATTGAGATAATTTTTCTCGATTTTACTAACAGAACATAAATGGTATTTGTGCCTTTATTTTGATGGCAAAATGAACTTTGACAAAAAGATGGCTTGTCACAGACTAAGTGCCTTCTTGGCTCCAATACAGAACGAGCATCACTGCTCAGGAATGGGGAGCCTGAGAACAACCTATGTAGGTCAGTGCAAATGAGCACCAATAAAACCCTTTTACTGCAATGTGCTTGAAGATTTTGTTTATACCACACATTATTAGAGAAGCAATTACAGAAAATGTTGGGAACACATAAAACTGCAATGGTGCTGTTTAATACCTCTTCTAAATGCAAGCTGCCCTGTTTTGGTCAGAAACCAGGTAATCTGAAGTGAGAATAAAATCAGCTTTATAAATTCAGTGTACAATACTGGAAAGATACAGTCCATACTGATATCTCTAGAAGACATTGAGCTGTTGTAATATTTATCTTAAATGCTGCTGAGACCACAAATGCAGCTGGATTTCATAGGAAGGCTCTATCTGCATATATCAGTGACTGCAAGAAAGCAGAATTTATGGATAAGCAATGGTTTCACAACTAATGATTGGTGTTCAGGAAAAATTTAATTGACAATATCTTTTTGTAAGAGCATTTTTATCCTTGTTTCACTCATTTAAAGTTATGCTTTCCTATTTAAAATGGCACTTCTTTGCAAGGTGCACAAGAATTTTCTAATTCTCCCAGAAATGGATTAGCAGGTGGCATAGAGGTGAATCATCTAAAAATTACATGGTGCTCACTCCAGAAATGTTATGCCTGATTTACTTGCCTGCACTTGCTGTTATATGTATTAGATTTCAAATTCTGTCATACATCTAAACATTTTAAACATCCATGGAAAAATGTGCAATAAAATAGTACCAGAGGGGTGTTTGCAAAGGAGCCATTTATATTACCTATTTTAAAAGGGATGAATGCATAATCTGTTCTTGCAGGACAAAATTATGGGGTTTTTTTCAATGTCTACAAGGTCACTTCTGAGCTATGCAAGATAGGCCATTGTCAGTTGAATTTGGACCTAATATTAAAAATGTATTTTTCTTGTTTCTTATAGTTTAAAGAGAACTAAGCATATTTCTTCTGCTATTAAGAATACACTTGCAAAGATGATTTAAAGAAAGACCATTTTAGCTGTGTGGTTGTAACATACACAGTGTTTTACATAATATCTGCATGCATTTATAGATTACGGTGACTATTTAAATTGTTAAAAATAAATTAATTTTTGCTTCTTAGCTTGATAATTTTCACTTCCATCACTGAGGTGACTGTATTATTTGTAATGCTAGGACAAATTCCAAGTATATCTCTTAAAAACAGTTTCTAAGCAGCAGCACTGGAAGATTTCCAGAATGATAACTTGCATTCATTACTTGCTTCCTCCTTTTTAATAGAATTACTGAGCCATTTTGAAAATATTAGTACTTCACCTCCTGGAAGGAAAGGTCTGCATTGGGAAAAGATTACAAAATGCTGGAGTTTTTTACTTAAATGTTTCACTTCAAAGCTTTTGGACCAAACATTAAATGTGAACTTCAGAAGAGCTGGGTAAGCTAACCATCACTCTGCACCCTAAAAAAACGTAATCAGAGAAATTCAGCTCTTGTAAACAATAGACCTAAACACAACTGTTGCAGTCAGGGCTCAGGTCTGGAAAAAAAGCAGCCCAAATCATTTAGCTTTGAATTAATTCTAAATTACTATTCATTATCATAATCTTAATAGGCAATGGGAGAGAATGAACACAGCCTCAAGTTATGGCTTCTGAAGATGCCCTCACAATGATTTCTGTGCCCTCAATGCCACACCAGAACAGCCACTATCAGAAACTGGTAGGGAAAAAACCCAAAACTTTGTTTCTCCACATTAGAACACTCATCAGGATTCTTTTCTTCAGAAAAGGATGAAAAAAAAGGAGTTTTGCCCCTCACATTAATCTGTGTAGGCACAGCAGAATCTCAGGGAAATGAGGAGGTACTGGTTATTACTGTAACTAATACCTCCTAATTTCTCAATGCTAATAACAATTAGTGCTCTAGAAGTACTTCTACTGACCCCAGTTACATGTTTTGGTTTATATAAATACCTAATTCATCAAACACAAAAGTTTTTCAAAGTCAGTATGGCATTTATGGCCAAATGTTTTCATCATAGTCTTACATGCCCCACACAAGTCAGCTGTGCATCTCTTGTTAGTGGCTTAGCAGAAATGCTGATTTCTAACCAGTGTAGTCACCATGTGCATATTTCTATTTCTTCCTTCCTTCTCTCTCTGTGCCTCACTGTAATGATCCATCTATCAGAGTAATTAAAACAAGGACTAAAACCTTAGGCAACCTTATTGTGTAGCACAAAATTTGTTACTTTGGGAATGAGGTCTACATTTAAATTTGTTAAAATTGTGGAGCTTTTGCAGCTGTTGAGCTCCTGGTTTTATGTGACGTGTCCAGTAGTGGGGACAATCTGCCCTGGGGGGCTTCAGGATTGTAGATTCAGAGCAATGGCTTCAAAGCAGTGCAAAGCAATTGATGTTTGGCTGAGCTTTGTTGGCACAATGCACACAGGAAAATGACACCAGGGTAATGTGGAGATGCCTTTAGCATGGCTGCCATTAGCAGCTCAGCTTGGAGCTGGGTTTTGCACAGATTTCAGTAATGCTTGTTCTACTCATGTCTGGCTTCACCATTGCACTTGAAGATTGTTTTCTACCTGATCTCTCTCACATGATTTAAAAAGGTTTGGAAGTAGCAAAACTGCTGTTGGAACTCAAAATGTCCCTCAGACATTTTTGAATGTTCCGGGCCCAGGTCAGAAGCATTTGAGACCCTGGCAGGCAGCTGGAAACAGCTGTGATTTTGGATTTGAACCATGGAATGATTTACCAACCTTGCAGGAAGAACAAGAAGTCACAAAAATTTAGCTTTTATAGTAGAAGTAGTCACAAAGTAAAGGGAAGAATTTTTGAGTGCTGTACAGGGGGGTTTTAGTTTTGTACATGGGGGTCAGAGGTTTTAAGATGGAGGGATTTGGGCCTGCCCTGTTCTCCCTCTTTCTTCTTCCTTACCTCCATGTTCTTGGTGATGTTGGCACTCACAGATTGGTTTAGAATAGAAGGGCATAATTTAATATAGGTAATAGGCATTGGGAAAAAAACTATAAACATGTAACATGTAATGTACCATATAAAAGAGAGCAGCAGCCCTGGGCAGGGAGAGAAGAAGCAGTCGGGAGTCAGAGAGGATGTCAGGGTGTGTGTGTGCCTCTGCCTGAGCTGTGAGCAAACCACAGCAGCTCGAGAAGAAAATCTTTTAGATAACTTGCAATAAACTGCCTTGAGACCAGACAACAGAAGACTGCTGAGTCTTTCTTTGAAAGCACGGGTTGGAGGAGAGACTTTTCCACCACATGGAGCCACCCCCAGCCTAGAGGTGAGCTCTGGCAAACTGCCCATCAAAAATAATAGGAGCCAAACATTAACTTCTGTGCCAGTGCAGGTTTTGTGTGAGTCAGGAGAATGGGGAGATAGAGGCTGCTTTAAGCACAGGTAAAGAGCCCTCGGGGGCACGGTGCCCTATCCTTTCCTGCTGCAAGGAAAGGGATTCTTTCCATGCAGCTCTTTGGGACTGAAGCCAGGTTAGCAGAGGACAAATTACTGAACCAACAATGCTCTTTGGTGAAATACCATGGCAGCAGCCAAATCTGAGAGTGCACTTTTTTCCTCTTTGATCACAAACCCAAAGTAGCAGAAGATATAGAAAAGTTCTGACTCACCCTTCACATAGCAAACATCAAGGAAAGAATTGCTGTATTTGAATAGATATTCCTAGGAGGAAGGCTTAATATTTAGAATAAGAGAGAAAAATCCCTGGCTTTACCTTACTATTTATTTGCTTCTGAGGCATTTCATAATTTTATTTCTCCCTGCAGTGACTGCTCATTCTAAAATAAATGACTGAACAGTGCTTTACTGCTGACACAGATCACAGTTTGTTGCTAATGGAATGTTAACTGCTTTTTAAGTAACTCTGAATAAACCTACTGATCCATAGAATATTAATCTAAAAAGGAATCCAATTTATCTACCAGCTTTTCTGCTTCCACTGTCATGAAACATATTTTTCTACAGTTTACTTTGCTGCAGTTATTGTAATATTGGTGTCAGATTTCCTGTAGAAGGATATTTTACATTTTGA